GAAGCGGGTGACGGGATTTCGATTCCGGCTGCCGACAGCTTCTTACGGGCGACCCCCAAACATTAACTTTTCCCCTTTTAAGCGCCGACACCACACAAAAAACATGCATAAAGAAAGAAACCCCTAAATTCTCCACTTAATAGAATCCCCTCCCAGCATTTTAGAACTTTCTTTACTATTTTTCCTCCAAACTCCTTTAATTTCTCCTCCTTGCGTAGGTGATTATGGCCCCAGTGGACCCCACTCTTCCCTTTCCTTCTTCTGCGGCTCCATCCGTTCGCCCTGCTCCTTCTTGTCACCAAAACCAGTTCGTTTGTGGGCCTATTACGCTGCCTTTAGCCGGTCCAGAGAGGACTGGCTCCGTATATGCATAACAGATTGATAGATTCTTCATCAAGGGAAAGCTGAATAGCGGATTGTTGGAACTAAGTCATGTAGCTAGTGGAGGGCAGGTGGCTGACTGCCTCACTAAAGGACTTGGTTCGGTGGAGTTAGCTGGATTATGTGACAAGATGGGCTTAGTGAATATCTTTCGCCCATCTTGAGGGAGGGTGTTGTGAGTTATGTGTAATTAGAGAGTTTTTTGGGTTGTGTAATTAGAGAGTTTTCTTGGGTTTATTTGCTAAACATTGTAACACCTATTTAAACAAATATGTTGAATGGAATAGCAACTTTTTTCATCAAATGATTCTTTAAAAACACGTATAGGTAATCTTTTGGACTATCAATAGATCTCTTAAAAAAATTAACGAAGCCAAATAATGAGAGAAGAAGCCTTTTGGGAATAAAATTCAAGAACAAGATGTCCACGCTTATGATAACTTATAATTAAACTTATGAGTAATACAATAAAGTTATAAAAAAGGTTAACCGAACAAATACTTCAAAAATTATGTTGATATTTGAGAATTAAATTGGTTTTATTTCGAAAGTATCTATTACAGTTGCAATTTTTTTGATTATTTATTATTGACAAAGATAGAAATGATCTTTCTGCTTTGATAGAGCACATGATTTATGTTGATTTTGATAAAGCATATGATCGAGTACATTGAGAATAATTTAGTGTGTATTTAAGGGGAATGGAACATGTTAAAGGTATTGTTGCAATGTTGCATGCTTACAACTGTTGGGAGTTAGTAAAGCACTTTAGGGTATGTCATTTACACTGATTTCTCACTTCCTGCATGCATAACTATAAAAAAAAGGCGAGCCTATCCCTTGGAGTATTTCCACGGGAAGACACTATGAAGCTCAACTTAGTAAGTGGATTTTTAGTAAATAATGAAAATAGTTTAGCAAAGCCTTCTCTAAAGAATGTAGGAGTTTTTGAATAGGTTTAACTTTCCCCATATAGGTTATTTATAGCAATTACTGTAGTTTAGTATTTTCGGTGAGGTGGATGATGCATGTAAGAGACAGTTCATCTCTAAGTTTTGTTTTGGCCGAAAATGCCTATGATTGAGTGTTATTTTTGATATAGGGATCAAATCTAATATATGATTAATCAAATCGCCCATGATCATGATCATTTATCAAATTATGGAAAAAGAAAAGAGACTGTTCATTAAAGTTTTATAATTTAATTTCTCCTTGAAAATAGCCAACAGTGGTGGTCCTTCTGTTGCACGGAAGAGGGAGATCAATGCTCTGTATGTTCGGCCATTATCAAATTTTAGCTTGCAGCAAGATAAGGATGAATTTAAACTTTAATCTTGCATAAGCTTGTATCTGAATTATAATTTAAATTAGGATAATTTTTAGTATAAATTGTCATTTAAATTAGATATTTCTTGGTTTTGTATTAGAGATATTATTTTTCTTTCTTTGTGGAGTTTGCTTTAGAAAAATTTTAACTTATTATTCTTATATTTGGTGATTTAAAGACTTATTTTTCTTTTACAAATCATTCTGAAATTAAAAAAGTCTTATTCTTTATCAGTAAATTTGTAGTTTCTTGGAGGTGCAGCTAGTATCAAAGATAGCAGGTCCATGTCCTATAGTAAAAGCAGAAGGGAATACTCATCCTATTTAATCCTCTACTACCTACTTGCTTTGATTGCTGCTGCAGAAGCAAAAGAACTTCAATAAGATAACCTAATTGAATCTTCCCTAAGCAACTAAGAATATAAATGAGTGCCAATGTCAGCAAAAGTGCTAGGGTCGGACATAGTGTTTCTTTGTTATGCCTTCCTTGATCAGGCTTTTCTTTTTCATTCATATTGAGCATCAACTAGAGTATTTATGAAAACTGGTATACTCTTTAACATTTTTTTCCCTTGCAGCTTTTTGAGATGGGCTTAGAGCTTTCACTGGCACGCTTAAAAGCTTTAGCAAAATATGCTTTTGGGATGGGGTTAACCCAGGTTTGATTTTATGTTATTTACTGCTATTTATATTTATAGTACACATTTTGTTGAAAACTGCCTATTTCAAATAAAAGTGGCAAAGCTGTTTAAGATGGCGAACAATCGCAGTGAGATTTCAGTGCCTAACTTTTGATTAATAAAAGTTAAAGCCCGCTTTATTACTAAGGCTTCATTTGTTAATGCTTTTCAAAGCTTAACATGTGATCCATCATGACTTCAGTCCGGAGATGATACAATTGCATAGAAGCTTATTAATCTCATTGAGGGTAGCGGTGTTTTGTTTGAAACAGCACGGAAAAAATACTACTGCTCAAGTTTTACTTAATTTATCGCTTTGCTCTATTCACAATAAAAATTAGAGGGCATTAAATAAATTTACATGAAATTTTTTCTATCTATAGAATGTTTGTGAAGGCATTGGAAAATTCAAGAGTATTTTGTTTTTTCTCCCTCGAATTTAGTTTGTTCTTGTTGCATAGAATGATGAAAAGAATGAAAAGTGGTTGTCTCATTCACTCATGAATAGCCAGTGAAAAGAAAAGGTGCCCTAAAAAAAAGTACTTTCTGTGGTATTAACTTTCGGTTAAATGATGTAGTAGGTTACATCAGCATGAATGTCCATGATCTATGGGTGGAGTTTGTGTGCTGTTAAAGCATATAGTGGTGCCATGTTAGGTGCTTTCTTTGTTAGTCAAGCGCCAGTAGAATACTAACCAACAAACGCCTTTATGATGAGCCTAGTAAACTTTATCACATTTAGGCATCAACAACCTAGATGAATTTTTTTGGACGCAATCATCATATTTGGTGATGGCTTTGAGTTGAATTTGAGGTGGGAGAACTTACGGAAATAGAGAAAAATAGAAGATAGTGATAAAATTACCAAGTGAGAAAAGATTGAAGAAAGTAATGTAGAGGAAATACTTTCCACCTCGTTATTGCCAATACATGTTTATGAGATTTCATCAACTACAATGGCGAGACCTTTTAGTGGAGAAATTCAGAGTTTAATTTGACCAATTATAGATGAAATGTGAGTCGATCAAGCTAGAGGAACACACTATAGCCCGACACCTAGCTGTTAGCAATGTGGTGTAGTTACAACCATACTGGATTTTGGGGGTTGTTTAAACTCTAACTTTGAAGGTGGAAAGACAACAAAAAACATAGCAAACAACAATTTTCATTCAAACAACCGTCTTTAGTCAGACAGTGACCTACTGCTACCGTTTCCAACTAAGTTATCTCGAGAGGAACTAGCAAGGCAGGATAGGGAAATGACAAGACAAATCAGAGTGGAAAGAAGCTAGAGAGGTAACTCTTCTAGCACAATATCAACCAGGAAGTGTTTCTAATGCCACGACTGCATACACATATCTCCAACTATCCCACGAGTTGATTTGTCATATTCATATATCTAGGCGTCGTTGAGGAGGTGAAGGACGAGGAGTCAGAGGATAGTCCAGAAGAAGAATTTCAGCTCCAAAGGGACGAGGGAGAATTGTTAGTCATACGGAGATTTTGCAGTCAGAGCTGGAGCAAGATCAATCCTGGCTGAGAATATCTTTCAGACCAAGTAGACCGTAAAGGACAAATTTTGCAGCTTAATCATCAATAGTGGGGTTTTGAAAATATGGTATCCACTCTAATGGTGGAGAAATTGAGATTAGCCACTCAGAAACATCCCTAATCCTATTCCCTTGGTTAAATATTGAAGGGAAATGAGACTTGCGAATCAACAGTGCTGTGTCGAATTTTCGATTGGGGATCATCTATAGGAGCAAGTATGGTGTGGTGTGGTTCCTATGGATGCATGCCACATTCTATTGGGGAAGCCTTGGCAGTTCGACTGTACGACTCAGCATGACGGCTTTAAGAATACTTACTCCTTTAAGAAGGATGGGAAATACATCGTGTTATTGCCTGTTAAGGATGCAATAATTGTAGGCGACACAGAGGAAGTGTTAATCCCAAGGGCCATCTTCAAGTAATCAGTTCGAGATGCTCCAGTGGTATTGGAATTAGTTCTACTAGAGGGAACTGGGGAAGGGCACATACCAACACTATTACAAGACTTCCAAGATATGATAACTGACAACTTTCCAAAGGGATTATTGTCACTGAGAGACATTCATCACGCCATAGATTCTATACTAGGATCAGTGTTGTCGAATCAGCCTGCCTATATATTGAGACCTGGTGAGTACGAGCAATTGCAGTGACAAGTACAAGGTTGGTCAGAGAAAGTACCACTTTGTGTGCTTTCCCTATCGTAATGGTACCCAAGAAGAATGGTTCATGACGGACGTGCATTGACAATAGGGTCATCAACAAGATTACCACGAAGTTCCGATTTCTTATACCTCCCATGGATGATCTCTTGGACCAATTATACAGAGCCACCGTATTTTTCAAGATTATGCAGTGGGTATTACTAGATCCAGATGAGGCCAAGAGATGAATGGAAGACCACATTCAAGATACAAGACAGTTTATACGAGTGGACCGTTTTGCCCTTCGGCTTGTCAAACACGACCAATACTTTTATAAGGATTAATAAGGTATTCTGGGCACACATTTAGAAATTTTTGGTGGTCTACTTTGATGGCATTTTAGTATACGACCGATCTGAGGAGGAACATTTACAACAAATGTGGGCAGGTTTGAGATATTGCGCTTGGAGAAGCTATATGTCCATCTTAAGAACTGTCACTTCATGATAAACCATGTATGTCTTTTGGGTTATATCGTGTATGGTGCAGACATTCAGATGGATTCGATAAAAATCGAGACCATCATGAGCTAGATCGCGCTAGATCGCACTGCGATCGTTCACCGAGCTGAGGCAGTTTCGGGGACAAGCATCATTTTACAGGAGATTCATCAAGAGCTTGAGTACCATCAATGCTCCCCTGACATATCTTTTGAAGGAAGAAAAATTGAAAACGGACAGAGGCAGGTCAGAATAGTTTTAATGCACCTAAGGAGAAGGTGACCCAAGAGCCAGTCTTGGCATTATCATATTTCAACCAGCTATTTGAGGTAGAGTGTGATGCATTCGACATAGGGATAAGGGCAATGTTGAGCGAGGAATGTCAGCCCATCGCCTTTTTAGTGAAAAACTGAATTATTCCAAGAGGAAGTACTCGACATATGACAAAGAGTTCTATGTTATTGTAACAATTCTTGAGCACTATAGCCATTACATGCTGACAGGAGAGTTCACGTTGTTCACGGATCACAAAGCCTTGAAATTTCTAAACAATCAGAGCAAACCAAAGGGCCTACATGCCACTTGGGTGGAGTTCTTAGCATCATTTCAGTTCGTGCTTAAGCACAAGGCAGAGAACGAGAACCGCGTAGCAGACGCATTAAGCAGTTGTCACCTGCTGATCACGTCGATGTAGACTCGAGTTGGGGTTGTTGAGATAGTAAAGGACTTGTACGACTTTAAGGAGATCTGGGAGTGATGTCGGGAGAAGCCTGTTGAGTAGTATTGCAGAGCGGGTGATTACTTGTTCTACCATAGTAAGTTGTGCATTCTTAAGTGCTCGTTGCGGGAGGCGAGCCACTGTGGAGAATTAACATGATATTTTGGTAGGGTCAAGAATCTCGCACTCATAAGAGAGCACTTATTTGGCCCTAACTGATGAGAGATATGGCGCGACACGTTAGAAAATGCAGGATTTTTTATATGGCAAAAACCAGAGAGCAAATTGCCGAATTGTACACTCTATTGCCAGTATCAGAGGCACCGTGGGTAGACGTCAGCATAAACTTTACGGTAGGACTTCCACGGACACAACAAAACAAGGATTCTGTGATTGTTGTGGTGGACCTTTTCTCGAAGATGACGCATTTCATGCATTGCCATCAAATGTTGGACACATCTCATATTGCCGACTTGTACTTTAGGGTGATCGTGAGGCTGCACGGAATTCCTAAGGCCATCACTTTCGAGAGGGACGTCAAATTTCTGGGTTACTTCTGGAGGCCCTGTGGGAAAGCTAGGCACCAAACTTCAATTTTGTGTAGCAGCTCATCCTTAGATGAATGGTCAAATGGAGGTAGTGAATAGGAGCCTTGGAAACCTCCTGACATGCTTCATGGGAAGAGTATTAAGCATTGGGATCTAATTCTCACTTACGCCGAGTTTGCTTATAACAGGTTCGTGGGCCATATTACAGGATGCACTCCGTTTGAATTTATGTACAGGCGTAACCCACTCACACCACTTGAGTTGGTACTACTACTGTCGACCTAAAAAATTAGCGAGGATGTCGAGAAATAGGTGCACAAGATTTAGAAGCTCCATGAGGGGGTTAGCAAGGAGATAACTAATCAGAACACAAATATTAAGCACAGAAGAATAAGACGAGAAAGGTGACGTTTCAAGAAGGAAACCTTGTGTGGATGTGGCTGAAGAAAGAGAGATTTCTAGTGGGATTGTTTAGGAAACTCAAGTTCAGAACAGATAGACCGTTCAAAATACTTTGGAAGTTGAACGACAACACCTATAAGATTGACATATCAAGGACTACATGTTTCTTACGTTCAACGTCGGGGACTTGACATCGTTCTAAGAGGAACCAGAAGATTCGACGAATGAAGTCAAAGCTCTCCCAACCCTCAGAGATTGACATAAGGGCTTACCTGTCGCAGGCCCTCCTATGGTAGAAGGGCTGAATCGACCGGTTTAACCAGGGCAAATGGGGCCAAACAACCAGCCAACCGGTCCAAGCCTGCCTTGCTCCCTTTCTTATTTTGTTTGTCGCCAACCCCCTTTTCTTCTCAGTTTGACGCAACTCCTTTTCCTTCTCGGTTTGTCGCAAGCCTCCCCTCTTCCTATTCTATTTGCCGCCCAAAGGAAAGGGCCTTCTCTTCCCATTCTATTGTCTATCTATTACATATTTGTTGTTTTACTTGTTTAGGATTAGTTTTGTCAATTCTGATTTTAGTTCTCGCCTCCGGTGTTGTTCTCTCGCTAGTGTTGTATCCGACGATAGATGGTGCTCCAGTTGTATCGCTCAGAGGTGGTGACTATCTTGACCTAACCTCACACTTCTCCCCTTCCCCTCCTCACTGCCATACCACCTGCACCCACCCCAAACCCTAAACCGTAAATCCTAAACCTTCAACCCTAAATCCTAGAAACCCTAAACCATAACCCTCGTCCCCTGTTTCAGCCGTAGAATTGCAAGACCTACAGCCGCTGCCGTCACAAGCTCCACCCGACTCCACTACTACGCTTCTAACCTCTGTCCTTGCATCCCAGCAGGCCGCAGGCTGCTCTCCACTCCTGGTGCCATGACAGTCCGCTTTCCTCTCTACCCCCACAACGCCTGCTCCACCAAAACCCCTCTCCTCACCCTTCAGCCAGCACCGAGACCATAACTTCTTCCCCTTCCCGCTGCTACTTCCACTGCCCCCTCACCCACTCACCATTGTCCATGGATTATCCTATCTAACCCTAGTTGGATATTGTGTTTTGTTGATTTTCTATGTTGTTCGAGTTCAGTTTGTAATCTGCTATTGCTTGGCTAATGAAATTCTGCTTTCCCCTATCGGATTTGGGTTAATTCGAGTATGAATACCTGGCAGTCTGCACTTTATTTGGGTCATGCTAATAACTTAGTTATATTATCCATGAAGTGGCGTTACTCTCGTTGTTCGTTCACGTTTATTTTTCCTTTTGAAGATATGTTCAAGGATTCTGGCTTTGTTTTGATGCCATAATCTGTGTTTTTGTAAAAAAAGCATTCTCAGATTCTCTTTTATATGAATGCATCTCGACGTGGCTTTTTATTTCCTTGGAAAATTTTGCATCTAGAAGCGCCATTGGCTACAGACATGAAGTTCGTTGCTCAAGTCTAGAAGCCATTTTTTAGTATCAGTCAAGTTGTTCAATCTAATGATTCCAACATGTTATTGATACGTTCTGGAATCAAAATCAGTGGGACAACAACAGCGAAATTGAAATAAGTAGGTGAAGAAAACTCAAATGAGGGCTACCCTTATGAAAATTAAAAGAAAGCAAGTAAGATATAGGATAGTCTACTATTTGAGAGGTAGATGGTCTCTCCCACAGCCATAGACGTCGCTAGGAACACTTCACGAAAAAGAAAGAAACTGCAGCCTGCACAAATCAGCACATAAGAACAAACCCTAGCGCCCTCTTTTCCCTCTAAATATTCCCCTGGGTCCTTTCCAAACTTTTTCCCCACAAATTTTCCTTAATTCCTTTCTTCTATAGGAGAGCAGTGGCCTCAAGACTTCCGCCTGGGCACTGGAATCGTGCCGCATCTCCTGTGATGATCCCATTCTGCCTAAATCGGGTCGCTCGGTGCTGTAGCTTGGTATGACCGGTCCTGGCCAGTCCTTCTTGGACTGGTTTGGCTGGTCCGGGGACAGGCGGCTCTGTATCAGTTGTCAGATTTCCAATTGTTCTGCAAAGGTTGTATTTCAAATTTTATATTTAGATATTGCTTGCGGGTAATGAAGTTTTGTCTGCTTGAGCCTAAATTAAATAGAAGATTGCCGTCTGTTATCAGGCTACCTCCCCCTTACGTCTGTCCTCTCTCAATATATATGTTTATAAATTCCTCATAGCTGCTCTATTTTGTTGCAATTTTATGTTACTTGCTTATGACCTTTTGAAGGTTGTGTTGTGTACACTTGCTTTTGCTGCATTTGAACTTCCACCAAATGGAGCTATCGGAACAAAAGTTTTGGAATTTCTTTTTCACTCAAGACCTGACCTGGTGAGCTTGAAATCCTGAACTTGAAAAGCTCTCATTTATTTTATACTTGGTACTAATAAGTTTTGTTCACGTGTGCCCTAAAAATTTTAACTATGTATATTTAAACTATCTTATCGCACCTTCACTATCTTGATCTTACTGAAGACATGAATTAAGCCGAACAAAGCTTTATTCATAAAGCATGTTATTAGTGCAGATTTTGTTGACGGCCTATATGTCTGAATTCTTTTAAATGTGAAATTCTTAACCGCCAAGAATTCAATGTGGTTGATATTTTTCTGATACAGGTGAACAGTAGAAGTGTTGATGAAGCTATTTTTTGATACAGGTGAACATTAGAAGTGTTGATGAAGCTATAGTGATTGGAGCTGCTCTTTCTTTGTCATCATCAGCATTTGTTCTACAGGTATGCATTTTTGTCTACTCAGGTTTTTCAAGCTATATAATAACTATGATTGAGCATCTTTTGCTCCATCTCCTTGACATGGACAGTGTATATTAAAGCTGCGTCTTCTTGTGCTTTTTTTGTTGCGGTACTTTTTTCTGCTGAAAATTTTGTTTTCAGGAGTACCTCCTTTTCGTGGTCAATTTTATCTGACTTTACTTGCTTTTTGACTTGCGTTTTGCTGTTTTGTGATCTTATTCTAAATTCTGTAGCAGCTAACATTTCTCATGCTGTAAAGTAACAAAAAGGAGTTCATCAAGAGGAATCTCTTCAAATGCAAGCCAATGCCCTTTAACATCACTAACTCCAAGATATATTTATATTTGATACACCATAAACAAATTTTCATCATCCAAAACGGATCTTGACGCATGACACAGATCTTGAGCCAAATTTTTTGAGCGAGAAATATTCAAACTTTGATAAAAGATCATCCAGGAGTTTGATTTCAATGAACTTATAGTCAAACTGACCCTCTTGTTGAGACGAACTTAACAACTTCAAAATTGGTCCGATCTGAGTTAAATCAGGCCTAGATCAAGCTGAAAAAACATTTTTGGAAGCTTTCCGAGCATAATTGGAAGGTCAAACGGATGTCAAATATGGCATGTTTATAGTCAAATCAAACGTCTCGACGAGAGAAATTCGACGAGCTCAATATCACTCAATTCTGACATCATTAAGGCAGTCAAACGTCCATCAAATGTCATCCCATCAAGGGGATCTCTCTTGGTCGTTCTATCAAGAGTATTTTGGATTCCTGCCTTATTTGCAATTTAGACTTTATAATTAAAGCCCCAAGCCCCTCTTGAGAGGGGACAGAGAGATTCAAAGCTAGAGAGAGAGCAGAGCCTTCATCAGAGGGAGTTGAGGCCCAACCTCCTACGTAGTCGTCTTCGGCCTACGCCACCGTCTCCGGCCGCGGCCGTCACCTTCCACCTCCGCAATTTGGCTATTGTTGTCTCCAGCCGCCCCCGCCCACCTCCGCAATGTGGCTATTGTTGTCTCCAGCCGCCCCCGCCCCCGCCCTCGCCCCATCGGGCTGTCGCCTCCTCCGGTCGCCACCGTCTCAGGCCACCGCTACCGTCTCAGTCTGCCACTGCTACTGCTCCTACCACGAGTTCATCTGTGTGCAGATGTTGTAATCCTAGAAATATCCCTACATATGGGACAAGGGGTTGTACCTGTAAGTCCCAACTCATAGTAGAAAATTTCAACTGGGCAAAGCCCCTTGGTTTTTGGTCTTTTTGGGTTTTCCATGTAAAAACTTCTAGTGTTATCACTATTTTCTTACTTTTGTCTGATTTTGTTTTGGATTTTCGTACTACTCTAAGGCAATAATCCTTTACTCAACTGCTGCGAATCTCCTAGCACACATTAATTTGGCGTCGTCTGTTGGAATACAGAGCCATCCCACCACCAAAGTACTTGCAAGCCTTGTTGCATGACCACCAGGCGTAATACCCTGCAATAACGAAGCGTCTCCCTCCAACACTCATCACTCCAGGGGACAGTCGTGGAGGCGGGCCTCAGGCCTCCACATCTTCTCACTCTAGAAGACATTACCCTGTAGGCAAAGACTCGTCGGGCTCTTCTCTGGAAGACCGAGCACGCAGAATGGAGGAATCTCAATCAGAAATCCTGCAACTCCTACGTCAGGCTTGACAATCGCTACCCGCTCCACCTGATGGAACTCACTTCAACCAGCTCAGCAACCCACGGGAAACACCCCACTTGAACATACTCGTACCAAGCCTTCTCCCCTTGATGGATCCTTCTCTCTGTCAGACTGGGATGCTGAACTTCTTGATACAACAAGTTCCACTCATCCACCTCGCACCGCTCACTAGGCACCGACTCCCGCTGCAGCCGCTCCTAATGATGTCATCTGCGACAATCTACGACGCCTAGTCCGGTAAAAGTTTCCTCTGGAGAATAGTTATTGTTTCCATCGCTTGTCATAACTTTTAAGAATCATCTTCCTTAGTCGATGCAATCTATCAACACACCATTCCAACAGGTTTCAAGCTCTCGAGCATTGATTCTTACAAAGGTGTAACTGACTCTTACGAGTATGTTGACCATTATCGAACCATCGTGCACATTTAACGTGTCTGTGATGCGCTTCTCTATCAAGTGTTTCCGACCACTCTCAAGGGACAAACTTGCACCTAGTTCTACTCTCTTTTCTGGGGCACTATTAGCACCTTCAACGAGCTTGTCAGACTATTCGTTGAGCAGTTCATTGCAAAATGGAGGATCATCAATGATTCATCCCACCTCTCGGGAATTTGCCAGAATTAGGGAGAGTTGCGCAAAGATTACTTTCAAAGGTTTTCCATTGAAGCTCGCAAAATTCTGGGGGTTGATCCAGAATTGCTGAGTGCGGTTTTCCTAGAGAGGTTCCGCCTAGTACCTTTCTAGTTATCACTGATGTGAAAGACAATTCGCCCTTATTTCAATCTTGTCTGCAGACGATGCCATCAACTCGCACAAGCAACAATTCGAGCAATTCAAGAACAAATACAAGAATAATACTGGGGATGCTAGCCCAACCTCACAACGAAGAAAGTCTGAACAGCAGGGGAATCACGACCTCCCTCCTTGGCCTGCAAACCAGTGGTGCAAGCCTCGACCACAGAAGGACTGTGAACCACTCTACACATCGCACACAAACATTTTAATAGCCATCAAGGACGAAGAGACTGTTAAGTGGCCTCGCCCCCTGAATCCTAAATACTGTCACTTCCACTGGAGTCGTGGTTACACCATTGAAGCATGCAAACAACTCAAGAAAGAGATCAAAAGACTTGTTCGACAGGGATATCTGTGTCAGTGGGTGCAGAGCAAGACATAACGCCCCCACTGGGGCAATAGACGCAAAAGCAACAACATGGGGGTCACCAGATTATCGTGAAAATTCAGACAATCGCTGGAGGTCTGTTATTGTCTAAACAAGTTCTTATCACCGCACCTAGAGAACTAGCATGGAAGAAGCCGCGCTTTGAGCCCATCACTTTTGATGATTTTGATCTAGAAGGCATCCAAGTCCCCCCCACTAAGACCTTCTCGTTATCAGTGCAGGAATCAGAGAACTCTGTTACAATGTAAAGAAGATCCTGATCGACAATGGCAGCTCGGTCGATGTCCTGTTCTACTTTACCTTCCTCAGTCTTGGGCTGACCAGGAAAATGCTTAACCCGTTTCGGGGCCGTTGTACAATTTTGACAGCCGACCTGTAAAGGGACAATAAATCTCCTTGTTCTAATGGGAGAATTTGAGAATTTCCTCGACAGGCGACTCACTCTATCCCGTTCATCGTCGTTAAGACAGAGTTGGCAGACAACACCATTTTCGGGCGAACAATACAGTTCTTCTTCGACATCATTATTTCTATACCACACCTCAAGCTCAAGCTCCCAACCCCAGTAGGTTTCAGCACCGTGCACGGAAATCAACAAACAACACAATCATGCCACCTCAAGCTGGCCTACTCACACTCATCTGTAACACTTAGCATCGAAAAACCTTGATCTCCGAGATGAAGATGCATTCCAACATGCTTCCCCCGTAGAAGACTTGATCCAAGTTCCACTCTCTGGCGACCACCCATCACGAACAATGCAGCTTAGTTTCATACTCTCCGATGAGCAGAGATTAAAATATGCATATCTCCTCCATATGAACCAATATATCTTCGCATGGATAGCGACCGATATGTTTGGAGTCAACCTATAGGTAATCATGCACTCTTTAAAGGTGGATCCGGCCTTTAAGCCAGTCGTCTAGAAGGAACACATGTTTGCCTTAGACCGTCTGCAAGCCATCGAACAGGAAGTCGACAAACTTCTGGAAGCAAGTTTGTGAGAGAAATGCACCACCCTGCATGGCTGGTGAATGTCGTCTTGATTAAGAAGGCAAATGGTGCTTGGAGGATATGTGTTGATTACACCAACCTTAATAAGGCATGTTTGAAGGACAACTTTCCCCTTCCACTCATAAATCAACTACTTGATGCCACGTCAGGACACCATATGCTCAATTTATTGGATGCCTAATCAGAATACAATTAGATTAAGTCGAATCCAAGAGATGAGGCCACATTCTTCCAAACTGACAGGGGTCTGTACTGCTACTAGGTCATGTCATTTAGATTAAAGAATGTTAGTGCAACACACCAACGTCTCATGAATAAGGTCTTTAAATGTTTCCTCGGGAGCACAATGGAGGTATATGTTGATGATATGCTTGTAGAAAGCTTGGAAGCATCCCAACACATCGCTCATCTGGAAGATTGCTTTCAACTTCTTTGTCATTACGACATGTGCCTCATTCTAGCTAAATGTGCATTCGGAGTCACATTGGGAAAATTTTTTGGATTCATGGTCACCAATCGCGGGATTGAGGCAAACCCGGAGAAGATCAAGGCGCAAAGAGACATGCTGCCGTCAAGGAACATCAAGGAGGGGCAACGCTTGAACAGTCGCTTAGCCTCCCTATCCCACTTTCTAGCTCGTTTGGGTGATGAGTACTTAGCATTCTTCAAGACACCGATAGGTGCTCGGAACACTGGTTTCCAGTGGACTAATGTCAGGCTTCCTTCAAACAACTCAAGTCCCATCTGGCCTCACTACCTTCTTTTGAAGCCCATTCAAGGGAAAATGTTGTATGTCTGCCTAGCTATCTCACCTCAAGCGATAAGCTCAGTCCTAGTCAAGGAGGAAAACTTGGTTGAACGACCGGTCTACTATGTCAGCAAGGTTCTCTCTGACGGGAGTCGTTATCCGTTAGCTGATAAGTTTGCTTTAGCACTGATATTCTCAACGAGGAGACTGTATCCATACTTTCAGGCTCATACCATCGACGTCTATGCACAACTCCCCATGAAGATTATCCTACAAAGACTAGAAGCATTGGGAAGATTAATTAAATGGTCGGTAGAGTTTCAAGAGTTTGACATATGCTGCTACCCCGACCGAACATCAAGTCACAGTTGCTAGCTGACTTTGTGGTCGAATGCACCATATCAACCTCCGAAGAGCTGCTTCTCTCTTCTCTGATGTCACCTCAGTTGACTATATGTGGACGGAGCATGTGAAAACTCTGGAGTTGTTGTTGGAATACTTCTCATATCCCTTAAGCAGAATATCTTGGAGTATGGACTTCACCTGAAATTTCCAGCCACCAATAATGTAAGCATATCATATCGTTCACATATTTCAAAAGCATAACACGCTAGCTAACGCCCTCTCCAAGCTTGCGGTCTCAACGACGAGAGACCTCTTCAAAAGAAAGTACATTGATGAGATACACTTTTCCAACATCCAAGGGCCTTTGGTTATATTGTTTGTAGACGAGCAGGAGCCACCTTGGATGGACCCTATCATCTCATTCCTTCGAGATAGGATATTGCTCGATCATACTACTGCATCATTTCGCTTCCGGCATATAGCTGCCAACTATATCAGTGTCAGAGATGAACTATACAAGAAGGCATTTGTCGGCCCATACCTCAAGCGTCTGCCCCCATTTGAAGCTAATTATGCTATGCACGAAGTACACTCTGGGGTATGTGAAGAGCACCTCGGGGGTAGAGCTCTTGCCATCAAAATAATTAGACAAGATTTCTACCGACCCACGATCAAGTTAGATGCATTGTACTTTGTGCAAAAATGCAAAAGTTTTCAATTGCACTCCAACCTTACACATGCATCGTTGAGATAACTCACCTCACTTTTGAGCCCCTGGCCTTTTGTCCAATGGGGGTGGACATCATGTGATCATTTGCAGTTGCCACTGGACAACGAAAGTTCATCATATTAGCTGTGGTTGAGCCGCTCTCCAATATCACAGAAGCCAATACCAAGCAGTTCGTCTGGAAGAACATTATTTGTCACTTCGGCCTCCCTGTGAAAATTATCAGTGATAATAAGACCCAATTCTCTGAGGTCTTCATATTTTTTTGCAAGGATCTCCACAACCAGTTGGTGCAGTGTTGTTGCACACCCTCAAATAAATGGACACACATAAATGACAAATCAGACCGTGCTCAAAGAATTGAAGACTCGTCTTGAAAAGGTTGGGGGGCAATTCTACCTGTGATATTGGAGAGCGGCTTGAACTTGGATCTGCCTCTACCTGTATTCCTACCCAGATTCTCTCCCTTGTTATCAATATTCAACTTAGATACTGAAGATTCACAATTTATTGCTTTTCTGCGAACTTCTTCATTCAGCATCATACCTACTTTAGTCAGAAAAATGAGAGCAAGAAGGCTTTGCGGTTGAGGGCTTAGAGGAGGAGAACCAGAAGCTAAGCTCTGAGAATGAGGCTGACATTATTGGGATCAAGCAGAGGGCAGTCGAGAGCTTCAAGAACAAGATTGACTTTAGAACCATCATTCGAGACCACTTTGAGGAGGCTCACAACCATGTTATGGACGTTGAGGCATGGGAGCAGCAAAGGTAGTTCGTCGAGGGATGCAATTGAGGCTTTCTGAAAGGAAGTTGAGCAGCGCAGCGCCGGCTGGAGTTATCATGGAGGGATTTACCCCCAGTCAGGCCTTTGAGGACCTTTCATCAGATTCTGACGGTGATGACGTCGAAAGCAAGCAGCAGAAGGTCTTCTCTATTAACGAGGTAGAGGAAAACATTGACGTCGTGCGTGTAGTACCATTTTCATTTTCATTTTTCTTGTTTATTTGCCATGTTGTATGAGCTAGAAGAATTTAGTGTTTTCTTCTCATCTTTGGCTTTTTCTTCATGTTAGCAAGAATTATCTCATACTGATGTGTCTGTGGATGAACTTTGCACCTTCATGTGATGATGAATTTGTGAGGTTCTAATCTAAAAGGGGTTTGTCATGGGAAAAGATTGTCGGGAGCCTTTGATTTACTCGGGGTTGTGTATTATAGTATCACTTGATGATGTTAGCCCATGTGATAAGCCATTGGAAGTCCACCGAGACCTTTTAACCCATCAGATGTTGTTAGTTTGAGCATTGACTCGTTTATTAAATTGTGTGGATGGGATGGGGGGCATTCCACCAAAAAATGTTAGCCTATCCGGAGTTCTTTATCGAAGTAAGGCTCGATGATGTCAACCCGTATGGAAGTGGTAGGATCAAATCCTTCTGGGATTGGTGGGGCTCTGACTGAGAGGCGACCGAAGTCGCGTATTTCTCGGGTCGAGAGCTTGAGGTGACTCGTAAATGAACCATTGTACTTTCTTGAGGTGTCTTTCATATGTAGGAAAGCATGGAAATCATACTCATTTAATAAGTTGGAGATACATTGTCAAGTGCTCCTGGACACTCTCAAGAGACAAGCTCGCACTTGGTTCTACTCTTTTCCATGGGGCACTATTAACACCTTTAACGAGTTTGTCAGACTATTCGTGGAGCAGTTCATTGAAAACTGGATGATCATCAAAGATTCATCCCATCTCACGGAAATGCGTTAGAATGAGGGAGAGTCGCTTAGAGATCACCTTCAAAGGTTTTCCAATAAAGATCGTTAGATTTCGAGAATTGATACAGAATTGCTGAAAGGGGTCTGAGAGGCTCCGTCAATAACTTTTATACTCATCACAGATGCAGGAGATAGTCCGCTTTTACACCGATCTTGTCCAGAGCTTCGAGGCCCAAATCACTGTAGACGAGACCAACAGTGCTCACAAGCAATATTTCAAGCAATTTGGGAACAAACGGAAGAATAACATCTGGGATGCCAACCCAACCCCACGACATCTCCCTTTCAAATCATAACCTATAAACAACATCTCACATTCAATATAACATGAAAATACAATTCATCATCACAAAGGTTACACGAAAGAAAGAAAGAAAGAAAGATGTTCGGGAGGGGAGGGGAGGGTGAGACACCTAAGGATAGTCGGGGCTTGCCTAATAGCCTTCGGTCATTCCTTTTGAAAAAAAAATGCATACATACATACATTTATACATTCATACGTTTATAAATGAAAATATTAACGAAAAAGATAAAGTGCTCCAAATTTTAATATTTTCGGACGTTCAAATTTGTCCCACTCTAAAATAGGGGCAACTGATACGTCACAAACAAATTTCTATCATTCGACATAGATCTTGAGGCATGACGCGACTCTCAAGACAAATTTTTGAGTGAGAAACATCAATTTTTTATAAAAGATCATCCAAGTGTCCGATTTCAACAAAATTATAGTCAAACCGACCGGCTTGACGAGACGAACTTAATCACGCCCAAATCAGTCTGATCCAAGTTAGATCAAGCCGAAAACTATTTTTAGAAGCTTCTCGGGAATAATTAGAAAGTCAAACGGATGTCAAATATAACATGTTTATAGTCAAATCGAGTGTCACGGCAAGAGCATTAAATGAGCCCAAATCACTCAATTTTAACATCCTTAATGCAGTCAAAGTTCATCAAACGCTGTCCGGCCGAGGGGATCTCTCTCGACAGTTAGATTAAGAGTATTTTGGATTCTTGCCTTATTTGCAATTTAGACTCTATAATAGAGCCCCAAGCCCCTCTTGAAAGGGGACAGAGAGACTCAAAGCCAGAGAGAGAAGAGCCTATATAACCTCCTACGCCGCCTTCTCCGGCCAACATCGCCTTTCGACCACCGCCGCCCTCCAGCCGTTATGCCTTCGTCTCCGCAATGCGGCCGTCTCCGGCCATTGCCGCCGCCGTTGTTGCGGGCCGTTGCCTCCTTCCAGCCGCCGCCATTCAGTTGTCACCGATGCCCTTCCGGCGGTCGCCTCCTCCAGCCGCCTCTGCCCTTTCATGTCGGCATTGAACTGCCTTCCACCCCCAGCAACCCTATTGCAATTGTTTCGACCAAACTGCGCTCAGAAGAAAAATGGAAATAATTCAAAAGGAATTTCTTAGTTTAAAAGAAATTAAATATAAGAATTTATATGAATTTACTTATGGTAGCACCTCCAAATTCCTCTCTTCCTCTACTCCACTTATTCTAATGCAATTCCCAGCTATCTAACAGAGAACTGCAGCTCTCGGTTTACCCGATTCCAGCAGCTCTGCTCCCTGTAGGTTACTCCTCTTGGTAAAGTGGGGTTCTAATGGAATGAAAAGGGAGGTTAGGCTATTTACTTATATATATAAATGCTTATTTAAGCATTTATGATCAACGGCATTCATGTAAGTCCACCATTGCATGCCAGCTTAAGTGGAGAAATTGACTTGGGCTACAAGACCTTAGTTCCTGTGAACAGTAATATTAAATTCAATTTAATTTATTATGTATAGGATTTTATAAACTTAATATACAACATATATATATATATATATATATATATATATATATATATATAAAGAGTAGAATTTTATAAAAGTAGTTTTGATGATTTTCGGGAGGTGTGAACAATGGGTCTAATTTACAGATAAATTTTTGCCTTTTTGCCAGAGTAGGTTTTAGATTATTAATACTTATTTATAAGCTAAATATGATCATTAATCGTTGTTGCTTGCTTGTTAAATATGCCACTAATTTATCTCGTTTCATCAAGTTTTTCATCTAGCTTCTTGCAGAGAAAGGGGAACTTCCAACAAGATTTGGTTCAGCGACTCTTGGAATTCTTCTCCTTCAGGTCAGTATTGTTTCCAACGGCTTGTTTATCTCATCAAAACATTTAATCCCATACCATCTAGCTAAGGGTAACTATGATCGAACGGGGTGAACTGAGTATCTGATTTCTTGTTACGCAGTTCCAAATTTTGCATGAGAACTGCCTTTATTGAGAATTTTTTTATCAATAAAAAATTAACATTTTTTTTTTTTTTTTTTTTCAGGATATAGCTGTTGTTCCTCTTCTAGTCATACTGCCCATTCTGGAGAGTCAGGTAACCAAATGGATTCCTGTAACATAATTGTTTTTATTTATGTAAAAGAGAAGCAAGCAGCTCCCACACTCCCTTACATGTATTTTTGTATAGTAATATCTTGTAAAATATATTGTTTTTTTTGGAAAATATCTACTCAGATAAACATGTCTGAACTAAATGCATTGCCTGGGCTGAATATTTACTTGGAAATGTTGCTACAAATTCTATTTCAGTATCTTTAAATTTACTCTATTTTTGGATTGTTATCTATTCAGGTGACAGTCGAAAATGATATTTGATGCAGACAATGTAAATCTTAAACCTTGGTGTATGCAGCGTCTGATTTTAGTTACCTTCAAAGTAGTATCTTGAAGCATCGCCTCAATGCCAAATTTGATAGTGAAATGGTTAATATATGAAAAGAATATTGATAATATAGCGATGCAGCCAAGCGAGAACAGGAAGAAAAGTGGAGGAACAAAGTAGGAAAAAGTGAAAACTTAATCCCCGCATTAAATTCGTTTACTCTTCCATGCACATCCGCCTTCAGCTTGTATTTAAATGAAGTGTCCTATAATTTTTGCCGCTTATTTTGTAACATAGCTTCAAAAGCAGTTTTAGCAGCCACACTGCTCTTGGGTCTCGGTAAAATAGGTAAATCTGCAATTAGATTACGGTATTTATTATAAACAATGAACGATTGACGGTGGAATTAAAAGCAAACTCAGCCTGATATAAAGCGTCACCCCACTGTTTTGGCCTTTCATTAGCCTCACATCGTAGTATATTGTCCAGTGGTCTGTTAACTACTTCATTCTGGCCGTCCAACTGTGAGTAATATGCTGAACTGAAATTTAATTCTATGAGGAATTTTTTCCTTGGTTCCCTCCAGAAGCAGCTCATAAACTTCACATCATGTTCAGACATGAGATTAAGGGAACTTCATGAAGTCCAACTATTTCTTTAAAGAATAGCCTTTCAATGTGACTCACATCCAAAGTTTGCTTACAAGGAACAAAATGCACCATCGATCTACTACCACCATTATTGAATCAACTCCAAGTTGAGTTTAAGGTAAACCCAACATGAAATCTAACCTCAAATCTTCCCAAATAGTGTTAGGAATGGAAAGTGTAGTGGATAAGCCTGTATTTTGAGTAGTTCCCTTACGCATCTGGCAAACATAGCACCTCTCCACAAAGAGGTCTTCCATTCGTCCCCTTCTCTGATACATGTCTAATAATATCCACTATGGACTTCCTGTTTGGTGAATACCTTAGACCCATATGCTCCAGCATTTCCTCCAACCTCAGAAGAGGGAATTTATATTTCGGAGTTATCTTATTATTGGAACTGACTATCCACACAACCTCCGTTTGCCATCTTTCTTCAGGACTACCAATGCCGGAATAACACAAGGACTCGTACTGTGGCGAATAAAATTTTTGGACAGCAACTCATTCACAATGTTTGTTAGAATTTTCTGTTCTTTAGGATTCATTCGGAAGTGTGAGAGATTTGGAAGTATAGCTCCTGGAAGAAGGTTAATTTGATGTTGAATGGATTTGACGGGCAGCAATGTGTTGGGTAATTGGGTAGGAGAATGTCAATATATTTTCCAATAGGAACCTCATGTTTAATTGCCTGTTTCCCCCTTTAATAACCCAATATCATTCCTTGCCGTCTAATGTGGAATTTTGTTCATTCTTGCATCCTTTTCTCTTGAAAGCCCTCCATCCTATAAGCTTGTCAAGAGCTGAAGCCTCAACGATCTCTTCCCTCCCTTGAGGATGCCCCAAATACAACTTCTATAATAAAAGGCAAAAATTGGTGCGAGGAAGGAGGAAGCCAATGAAAGGCTATTGCAGATGCCTTACTTTCTATTAGCAAGAAAGATGTTAAAACTTGTTTTTATATTGTTGAATAGAAGCCACATAATTATACTTTTCTTTGCTGATGGATAGATCCATGACTTCATCTCTTGATTGTCTCTTATTTTCTTGCTTATATGAAATGTCAACTCCATCCTTTTAAGGTTCTATTTATAATGGTAATATGTATAAAATTACTTCCAAGATAATAATTTATAAGATATTTTTAAGCCAACAAGAAAAGTTTTTTTAAAATAAATTAATGATATATTTATAAATCTCAATGCAATCTTTACAATAAATAGAAGATCTCAATTATATTTTGTATTGATAGAAAATTTTTTAACTCAATAGTTGTAATAAACTCTTGGAAATAGAAAATTTTGATTTAACTGTTTAATGGTTAATATCAAAATAGGCTAGAGTCCAATGCTTTTGCTCTTGCTTTAATTATTGATTGAAGAAGAAAATTATTGTCTTCCTTTTCTTTCTTGGCGCAAGAACTGAAAAAAATTGATTCTTGTATGAGGTACTTCACCTTTCTTGCTCCTCGTTGGTCCAGACATAATTAGATAGCAACATTACCTTAATAAGGGGTCAGGCTTTAAAATGATAGACATTTCGGGGTTGTTTAGTTTGATGAATTTATGGTGTAAAGTAAATTAAATGCAGGGGTTTTCAAATTTCTGCATTTGCTTGAATGAAAATGAAATACAATATAAAATTTTGAATTTCAAATTCATCCAGCAATTCAAAACTAGGGCATTTTGAATATGTTCAATTTGAACGATTTTCGAATAAACTATAAACTACAGTTTATTGTTGTCACTTGCTACAACTTCTAGCTCCTCCTACTGTCACGCCACCTCTAACCGTATTTACATTGTTTAATTTTTCCTTCGAACTAAACATAAAAGCATAGACTCCTGCATTTATGTTACATCAAACCAAAGAACTCCAAAGCATTTCAAATATACTGCATTTCAATTACGCATCATTCTTTTACACTATATTCATTTTTCAGCAAATCAAACGGCCTATTATTCAAATATGACTCCTCTTGAATACCTCTCACTTTCTTATTAGGATGAAAATTTGAGTGGACTTCAATAAGTAATCATTGAAGTTTTCAATTTGTCCGTACCCTATCTTCCTCGTTGTTTGTTTTGAATAGTCTAGCGTGCATACTTGATCGACCATTTTGTTGCTGGAGCAGTTCTTTATAATGATTCTAGCTCATACCTTATTACATGGGGAAACTCAGTTTTTTCCTTCACACAATAATAATAACATTAGTAGTTATTTAGAATTGTAGATCTTTTTAAATCAATTTCTATGTTGCTAGGCTCTTGCTAGTGATATAAAATGTTATATCTACATCTGTACCTTATTTTAGCCCATGTCTTCCCTCCCTCTCTTAATGGGGCATGCCCATGCATATGCTTATCTACATTGTGACTGTTTTTCTTGGATCTTGCTTGGATCTGAGCTTCTATTGCAGAATCTTGGAAATGAAAGCATATGGCCAACGCTGGCAGCAGAAAGCTTGAAAGCATTAGGTGGACTTGGTCTACTATCCCTTGGAGGGAAATTTCTTCTCAGACGTATCTTTGAAGTCTGTATCAATCTCATCAAATCAATACAAAAATATGCATTCTTTTGTTTTTTCTGAACTATTTTATTCTATACATAGGTGGTTGCTGAATCAAGGAGTTCTGAAGCTTTTGTTGCTCTCTGCCTGCTTACAGTTGCAGGGACTTCGCTCCTAACACAGGCACTAGGTTTCAGTGACACCGTATGTATCCCATTCCATGCTTTTTAAAACATTATGAAAATTTCTGTTTGACATGCTTATTGATCTATTATAACAAATAGCTAGGGGCATTTCTAGCTGGAGCTCTTCTTGCAGAAACTAATTTTAGGACGCAAATTGAAGCTGACATAAGACCCTTTAGAGGTTTACTGCTTGGATTATTCTTTGTAACCACTGGGACATCTATTGACATGCAGGTAGGTCTTTTACATTGACGCATGCCTACTATTTCAGGCCACTTTATTAGTGATGCCATCTTTATTAGCCTTCTCCCAACAATGGGGGTTGGGTTTCATCAATATTGAATGAAGAGAATCTACCAAGAAATAGCTAGTTTTCCAATGCTATGCTTTGATGTGCAAGGGTGATGCATTTTTTGCGTTGAATATAATTTAATGAGAAACTCTCGCTTCTTGCTTCATGCTATGCAGCTTCTAGTCCGAGAATGGCCAAATGTACTCACCCTTTTAACTGGTTTAATAGTCATCAAAACACTGATCATAACTGCAATAGGTCCACGTGTTGGTTTAACTTTGCAAGAAAGCATACGGATAGGATTTCTTCTATCTCAAGGCGGTGAATTTGGATTTGTCGTATTCTCCTTAGCAAACAGGTCCGATAATTACAAGCTGACACAATAATCAAACTTTATTTGCTCAGCTCATTTCATTTTATAGGGAACTGGTTAAACAGGCTTGGAGTTCTTCCACTTGAATTGAACAAACTCCTTATCATTATCGTCGTACTTTCAATGGCATTAACTCCTTTACTCAATGAAATTGGAAGGAAGGCTGCTGAAATCATTGATCAAAAGCCTCAAGTAAAAGAAGTAGGTGACCCATGTCCATGAATTGCTAAGTGGATGGTATAGTTGACTTATTTCTTTCTCCTTTATTCTAATTTGGGATAAGCAATGCATTTTCATTGGCAGAAGAACACAGAATCAGTGAGCTTCGAGGCAACAGATCCTGTTGTCATTCTTGGATTTGGACAGATGGCGCAGGTGCTATATTTACCACTCAGCGCATCTTTGAAATATTTGGAATTGGACTTTGACAACTTTCTCACTAATTTAGCCCTTTTTTCTGATTTCTTTAAACTAATATGTGGTGCAGGTTCTTGCGAACTTTTTATCCATGCCACTGGCCTCCGGATGTGATAGCAATACCATTGGATGGCCTTATGTTGTATTTGATCTCAACCTTAGCGAGGTGCAGGTATGAGAGTTTTATTTGGGCTCAACTAATTTTCTTTATCTGTTATTCCTGGTATTGCATCACTCTACTCAAACATTTTAGCTTTCTCTATTAATCTGTCCATCAGGCTGCTCGGAGATTGGGATTTCCAATCCTGTATGGCGATGGATCTCGCCCAGCAGTTTTGCAATCTGCAGGTATTTCCTCTCCAAAAGCTGTAATGGTTATGTACACGGAAAAGGCAATAACCATCAAGGCTGTTCAAAGAATCCGCCTTGCATTTCCCGCTGTATGTTTCCTTTCGAGCAATTTACTTATTTCCGCCCTTTATTGTACATTTTGAAACTTATGATAATTTAAGAACAAATCCAAACACATTTGACTTTCATTTGCAAGAACTTCATCGCCATATATTTGCATGCATTGGCAGAACATGGACATAAAGATGCATGCACGCAATATCATTTCCTTTTTTGTTCCATAGACTGTAAGATACATTAATTCACCGGTTAATACATAGATACATACATATATATACATACATATATACATATATATACATACATACATACATATATATACATACATACATACATATATATACATACATACATACATATATATACATACATACATACATATATATACATACATACATACATATATATACATACATACATACATATATATACATACATACATACATATATATACATACATACATACATATATATACATACATTTTGCTAGGGTTTGCGACTCGATGGCGACGCGGATGACCGGGAGACATGGCTCGATCGTACGCTAGCGTGACCGCCAGCAGCTCTGGAGACGCGGGTAAAAGGTTTCGATCTTATGTAACCGCAGATAGCGTTCCAAACTTCCCTTCTGCTTACTACGACTCTCTCGCTCTCAGCTCTTAAACATCCTTCGTTAGACGTCCTGGCAGGAAAGGGGGTAAGCTGGCCCTCTTCCTCTCTGATGACGAGAACGGCGAACTCGCCTCTTCCTGCCGCTTTCATCTAGTAGGAAAATTTTTGTGTGGGTATCCAAAATTGGAGTTCTTTCGAAGACATTTCGAGCTGATGAAGCTCACCAGAGAATGGAAGATAGAGCCTCTGGATGGAAGACACATTTTGATTCAGTTGTCCAATGAGGAGGACTATACGCATCTGTTTGTTAGGCGTATGGTATGGTTTGAGGATTGCGGTATGAAGGTATTGAAATGGTTAGCGAATTTTGATCCCAAAGCTGAGGCTCCGATTATCCCTGTTTGGCTTCGATTCCCATGTTTGAAAGTTCATCTTTTTAACCATGAAATTCTGTTCTCCTTGGCTGCTATGTTCGGGAGACCTCTAAAATTAGATGCTCCTACCTATAATCTCACAAAACCGGCCATGGCTAGAGTTTTAATCGAACGGGATGTTACTTTACCTCTATCGGATGAGGTCTGGATTAGTTCGGCTCATAATGAATATTGACAGCAGGTTTTGCTAAAACAACACCCCTCCTATTGCACTGACCGTCGAATGTTTGGCCACGGTCATGACCAATGTTTCAAACTACATTCAGAATTGAGTAAAGAGGGAAATTTGAAACAGTCACACTTAAAGTAGGCGCCTTTGCTCCCTGTGGAAAATGCGGTGATTCCTTCGACAGATGCTATGGTTGTCGTCCCCCAATTAACTGCTACCGCTTCGGTCTAGACCGAGGGACAACAGGGTGGGAGTGTCGTGCAAGTCACACCTGCTCCCCCGCCTAATACTTTGAAAGTTGATGCTTTGAACACTGATAATAATCAATATCCTATTACCTCTATTGCTAGTTACCTGGTTGGGAGAACTAAGCAGGTGTTACCTAGTCCGGATCCTCCTATCATTTATATTTCTGAGGAAGCTCGTCCTTCTTCGGCTTCTCTCCCTACTGCTTTAAATATTGATAATAATTCCCTACTTTCTCATCATTCTGATGCCCTCTTTGATACTCCTTTGGAGGATATTTCTAAACTTTTAAGAGATGAATGGCATGCTCTAAAGTATCGTCGGAGGAAGCATAAGGGCAAGAGGTAGCGCAAAAACATAATAATGAGAATACTTTGTTGGATATGAATCACTATTTTTCAGATGGAGAAAATGGACGGACCCGAACTAGATTTTCTAGGAAGGGTCATATGTCTACTCATGTTTAACGTCCTAATTTGGAATATCAGGGGAGTTGCGGATCCTCACTCCCTTGGTAGACTCAAGTCAATGACAAGGATTCATAAGTTCGGTATCTTTACTATTTTGGAACAATTGGTCTCCTATCCGGATGATCGCATCTTGGGTAAATTCAAAAATTTTTCTTTCTTTGTTAATTGCTCTAACAAGATTTGGCTGTTTTGGCGGAAGCATATCACAGTCGATGTCCTTATTGATGATAGACAGTTTTTGCACACTTTCTTCTTTATAAATGTGTTCTCTGGATGTCTTACCTTTGTTTAAGTCGGAACTACTAATGCTACTAGATATGATCTTTGGCACAAAATTTCTGATATGGGTGCCTTAATCCATCACTTAATCCATCAGAATTGGTGCCTTAATCCATCAGAATTGGATGGTTGGAGGGGATTTCAATATGGTGATGCATAAATCCGAAAAATTGGGTTGTCGGAGAGTTGACAACACCTTAACTTATAAATTCACTGAAGCATTGGAATTTGCTGGCATTTCTGATCTGGGCTTTGTTTGCTCCAAGTTTACTTGGAAAAGGGGAAAGCTCTTTGAAGGCTTTGATAGGTGTTTTGCGCAGTTTTGGTTGGCTTCTTATGATTTTTCGCAAGTTCAACATCTATGCATATCTCGGTCTGATCATAGCCCCCTTCTCTTATCCTTTGATTTCTTCAAAAATGTTTCCATCTATCACTTTCGTTATCTAAATGTATGGGCTAGACATGATGATTTTATGTGTGTCATTGCTATCAATTGGAAATGTGAGGAAGTGGGCAATGCATGGTTCACTCTTTGGAAGCTGCATAAAAAAATGACTTCTGCTCTAAGATCTTGGAACTGGGATGTTTTTGGTGATGTTCATGCTAGAGTTAAGAGGGTGGAGCAGAGGGTCAGTCTCCTTCAGGCTCTTGATGAATCATCTGATGATATTATCCATGAATTACAGGAAGCTAATAAAGAAATACTGGAGGCCTGACTTTGGGAGGAGGAATTTTTCTCAAGGTGATCGAAACACAAAATACGTCCATGCTTGCATTAAACAAAGGCGAGCCATTAATACTATTGTGAGGATTAAAAATGATGAGGGGAGCTGGATTACTAGGGATGAGGAGATTGGGGAGAGCGTTGTTCTTTACTTCTCTAAACTCTTTGAGTTTCAGGAGACCTCGGGCTCAATTGATGCCTCCTTATTTGATGATGTACATCATCATATGGTGGATCTCGATCTTTGTAGTGTTCCTTCGGATGAGAAAATCTTTTCTACTCTTCAGGACATTAACTGCAACAAGGCTCCTGGGCCTGATGGTTTTACCTTTGCTTTCTATATTAAATTCTGGAGTATTGTAAACGATAAGGTGGTGGAAGCTATACAGAGTTTCTTTAAGGGGGAGACCCCTGGAAATTATTTCTCTGTTGCTACTATCGTTCTCATTCCTAAAAGCACTCAAAAAAGCTCTTGGGACCAATTTAGACTTATTTCTCTGACTTCTATCATATCTAAGATGATTATTAAAATCTTGGTTAGACGTATTCAACCTCATCTCCACAAATTAATTTCCTTGAATCAATTCGCCTTTATTCAAGGACGAGGGATCACGAATAATATTATGCTCGCACAGTAACTCATTTTGGATATTGATAAAAAATGTAGAGGAAACATGATTACTAAATTGGATATTCGTAAGTCTTATGACTCTGTTAGTTGGGAGTTTATATTGAAGGTGCCTAAAGGTAAGGGCTTTTCCCAGGATTTTTTCAAAATCATTCTCTCTTGGCTCCATTGCAATAAATACAGCATACTCATTAATGGTCAATTCAGAGGCTTCTTTAGTGCGGGGCATGAGATAAAACAGGGTGACCCATTATCCCCTACTATTTTCATTTTAATATTTGATTATTTTTCTCGCCTTTTAAATAACCTTTTCAGGAGCAACCCCAATTTGCAATACGCTCATAAATCTAATACGTTGGTAACACATTTAGCGTATGCCGATGATATTGTTCTCCAACACTAGCAAAAAAACGGTGAGGGTTATTCACAGTTTAATGGTGGATTTCCAATCTGTATTTGGTCTCATATTTAATGCCAATAAATGCAACTTATACATGAGAAATTCGATCAATCGCTATAATGCATGCTGGATTGCCAATTTTACTGGATTCTCTACATCTACCCTTCCTCTTAAATATTTGTGGGTTTTCTTACTTAAAGGAAAGAAGAGACGAATTCAGTTTGATGAGGTGGGTTTGATGAGGTGGTGGAAACCATTGATAAACAAGAAATGAGCAATAATTTTCTCTCTTTTGGGGGTAGAATTACATTGCTCAGGAGTATTTTACATTCTCTCCCTTTATACACTCTTCAAGTTTTCCAACTCAAAAAAAGTACTCTTTTGAGCCTCGAAATATGTTTTGATAAGTTTTTATGGGTGGGGAATCATTCTGATAGAAGATGGATGCCTTGGAAGAATATTTACAAACCTCTTTATGCTGGTGGTTTGGGCTTCAAATCTCTGCACCACATTGCTGATATTAATGTTTTTAAACAATGGTTTAATTTTCGGAAAGGTGATTCTTTGCGGGCCACTTTCATGCATGAGAAACATTGTCACTCCTCGCATCCGGCTTTGATCAATTGGCGGTTGGGGGATTTCAGTATGTTGAAGAGAATGCTCCATATTAGAGATTGGACAAATGGTTTCATTTATTGGGAGGTGGAGAGTGGAAACATTTCCTTTTGGCTTGACCGTTGGTCCCATGTAATGCTTAAAATGAGGGATAATAGGACCTCAAGTCTTATGGTTTCAGACACTTGGGTGGATGGTCAGTGGAACTTTCCTTATCTCCTTAATCTTCTCGGTTTTGAGGGAGCTACTTTTATCTTGGCCATTCCTATTGAGCCTCATTTGCAAGATACTCCTACTTTGAAACTTCCAATGTCATGCTCCACTACCAAATCTTTATATTCTTTATATTCCAATTTTCAAAAGCTCCCTTGGGGAGAGGGGGTGTGGAGTTGGGCTTTGACTCCCTCCATGTCTTTCCTGGCTTGGCTGATTTTTCATTATGTTATTCCTTGTGATGATATCTTAAAAATGAAGGGGTTGAGACTTGCTTCACGTTATTTGTGTAACTTGGCGGAGGAGACTGTTGACCATATTTTCTTTTCTTGCCCCTTTTCACTTTATATTTGGAGGAAGGTTGGCATGTGGTTTAGTACTATTGTGAATCCGGAGCGAAATCTCTTGTTTACCATTATGATTTGCAATCCGGATCGAAAAAAGAAACATTTGTTGCAAATCTATCCTTATATTATATGTTAGTTTATTTGGATGACTCGTAATGATATTATTCATGAGAGTAAAGCCATTCAGAATAGAATGGTCTTTACTAATACTATTGTCTATATTAATAAATTTTGGAGAACGTGTAAGGCTAAACAAAGCTTCTTTTCGGGCATTAATTATTTTTTTGTTTATGGGGCCTGTGGTTATGGCTGAGAGGAGACCTCCCCCTATTTTGGTGAGAAGGCCTTCTCCCAGGGGTTGGATAAAGTTTAACATTGATGAGAATTGGAAATCTAGCAGAGCAGGCTGCGGGGGTATTGCTAGAAATTGTGCAGGGAATTGTATTCTCTTCTTTTCTTCAGTATCTTACGCTGATACTCCTTTGGAGGCGGAAGCTCGGGCTATTTTGATGGCTGTCATGATAGCACACTCTCTTAGATGACAATTTATCATATTTGAATGTGGTAATCGCATCTTGGTCGACATTATTGCCAATGGTGCTGAGGCATCTTGGGACATCCTCTATTATATTAAGAGAATTAAATGCTTAATCACTAATATGAATGTCATATGGAGCTTCAATTATCGGGAGGGAAATCAACCTGCAAACTGGCTTGCTAGCTTGGGTAGCGCCTCTAATAACTGTTGGGCGGGATCTGATCCCCCCTCCTTTAAACATTTTGCTGGTTGGTGACAAGATTGATGCCCTAATTTTGCTGGTTGGTGACAGGATTGATGCCCCATATGTTCGTCGGGATGTTTCCTCTTAGCTTTATTATCTATTTGTTGGTACGGTTTGACCTTGGATATCAATGGGGCTTTATTTACATTTTCGTTCCTACTACAGTGGTCGGTTGGGGCGGTTTTGGCCGCTCACCAGATACTTATGGGATTTGCCGTTGGTTTCTACTTATGGGATTTGTCGTACTTTTGTTGGGTGCAAGCCTTTGCACCTGAGTTTACGGGGTTTATTGGCTTCATTAACTTAATCTCTACTTTCACGAGTCCTCTCTCTTTCTTTGGCCTTTATTACTGCAGGTTTTCTCGAGGAAAGCTGATGTTTGTGATGCTGATGCTGCTTGGAGCTCTTCACTTCGTTTTTGTGTTCTTTTTTAATTTTTTTGGTGTACATCTTTTGTGGGGTATACGATTACTTTAGTATACTGAATTTATTGTTCTTTTTTTGGTACACTTTTTCATTTTTATCCTTTTGGTGTGGAGTTGTAACGTGGATAAAGAAACCCCTAGGTTTTTTTGTTTTTTAAACGGGGATCCTTATTCCTTCCTTAATTTTGTACTCTTATTTTATATTAACACGTAGGGAGCCACGAGATGCTCTTTCCCCTATATATATATATA